AAATGACTGAAAATAAATATTAAGTATTAAATAAATATTAAACATTTTCATGTAGCTCATTTGCCGGTTTTTTTTTTCACACCACACCAATGCAAAAATCTAAACGAATTTTTGTGCAGCATACACACAGTAGTGGAAAAGAAGCTAATCTGCGTTCTAAAAATCTAAACAATTCATATAATAAGGTATCTAGTGTTATTCTGAGTATTTTGAAGTACCACAGTAATATCATGCATGTTCATTACTGCAATATCTGCACATCTAGTACATACTCAAACATGACACCTTAAAATGCGTTGTGCCTGGTTTGGCATTAAAGATGTCCAAAGGATGTGCCTTTAGTTCTCATGTGTCTCTTAACCGATAGCAACACACCAAGTATTAAAATGTGAAAGCTCAAATTATATGGTACTTTAATGGAGGTTTTTGACCTTTTCAGAGGCAGACAGCCCTGGTCCTGGTTCCATTCTGTTGTATGGAAATGAGAAGCATAATCTCCTTTTGTGCTCCATAGTAGACACCAAGTAAAATGGGTTTGGAATGATATGAGAGTGAGTAAATGGTGAGAAAATAACTGATACTTTCCTAATCACCTCTGAGGTCAGTATTCAACCAAGTCCACTCTTAAAAATAAAGATTCTTTATTGGCATCTATGGTTCCAAGAAGAACCTCCATGGAACCTTTCCATCACACAGAAAGGGTCTTTATAGTGGAAAAAAGGTTCTTTTAAAAACTGTTCACTGCAAGGTTCTTTGGAGAAGTACGGACAGTTCTTCTATGGCATCACTGTGAAAACCTCCTTTTGGAACCTTTATTTTTAAAGGTGTAGTTAGTTGTAGTTTTACATATTTGCAAGATGGCTCAAACATTTCTATACTTTCCAAAATCATCATGCTTGTTTACTCTTTCAAGGCAATTACAGTACAGTGTTTATAGGAGACTACAGTAGCATAAACTACATAGAAGCCACAGTACCATACACTCCCTTATGAAGCAGGGACAAGAACTCCTCCACAGCATTCCTCATCTCTGACTCAGTTAGATCCAGCAGAGACACCACTTTGAAGTTCAGTTGCCGCAGCAGATTGGTGAGGTCATACACGTCAACCATGGGTGCTTTCAGCTGTGGATGGTTTCGATATGTGAGGTTACCAATCAGAAGAGCCACTTTGTCTGTAGCTGAAGGAAGAAAAACATTCACTGTGAAAAAAAGAAAAAACTCCAGCCAATTTGATTTCTCGTTTGTATTCAAGTTACGTTAATTCATAGAAATTATTTGGTCTACTCACCATAAGTTTTCTCAAGACTGTAATCTGATGGGAAAAAGTCATAATCATTCACTGACTCCATAAAAGCCAGAAATGTTTAAGACTAAATGTGACGGGAACATAACTTACCCCTATTAAAAGTCAAAAAATCATCTATAAGAGAGAAATTTATTAGGTATTTAGATTATGCATATTTGAGAGAACATGATTATGACAGCAATGACGAGAAAAGAAAGCTTATAGATCACAAGAGGAAACTATTTTTCAAGACCAAAAAACTATGTTTGAGGTATAACTAACCCCATCCTGCCACAATTAACCCTTACCGCCATTTAACAAAAACATTTAATCATGTTCTCAAACTGCAGTCATTACAACTGGAATGGAAAGGCTCTCATTTTTTTGCAACAGTCATGCAGAGCTGCATTACTGAAGGCATCAGATCTATCAAAGTGTCTTCCATCACCTCAATCATTAGAGTAGTCAAGAGAGTAGGAGAAAAATGTTTAAAGGAGTGCTCCGGGTTCAAAACAAGCTCAACCATGGTAAGCTGTCAATTATCACAGAAAATCATGTTGACAGTAAAGCTTTCGCTTTATTTGTGGTAATCAAACATATCTCACTTATGCTGGTGATGGAGCTTAACTTGATTTGAACCTGGAACGTTTGTTAGTTTTTAAAGCATGCATTAATCAGTATGACAGTATGATGATTCAGGACGGCATGAACTAGATTCAGATTCCACAAAAGGGCTGATACCGAAAGTCCCTAGATGTTAGAAAGGTGCCACTACATTTTAGAAAATACCTTCAGAGCACTCCATTGCTCCTGAAATTTCATGAGATATTCTTGGCTCTTTCGTTTCAGATTGGCAAGGATTTTCTTGAGGAAGAATAAGGGGTTGGACCACAAAATGAGTAAATAAAGTAAAAAAAAAAAAAACAAGGTATTTTACCAATAACATTAGATGCTATCAGCAATCAACAGCATAATGTAGATATGTATGGCAATGTACTTCGGTCTTAAATTGCCATACAAATGCTTTTAGAGGTCCCACATAGAGGTAATTGTCTCTGCACTAGAGTTGGATACACTGGATACTTCTCATTGCAAAGACCATTTCTTGACATCTGAACTTTATAATTCTGCAGTTATGCGTGTTAGATTTACTCACTGTAAACATTAAATACTAGAACACTTTTTGATGCATTCTGACAGCTCTCTGACCGTCCCATAGGCAGCAAGGGTACTACCACGATCAACGTCCAGAAATGTAGCAAGGAGATCGGTAAAATAATCCATGTGACATCAGGGGTTCAACCGTAATATTACGAAGCTACGAGAATACTTTTTGTGCGCAAAAGGAAAAAAAAAAACGAATTTATTCATCAATTCGTCTCCTTCGTGTCACCCTGGTGCTATTTTGGAGAGTATCCACTGAACACAAACAGCGTATGTTGTTCTGTGTCAGCCGCACCACACGGATTCGTTGATACGTATCACATGAATTATTTTACTGATCTCCTTGCTACGTTTCTGGACGTTGATCGTGGTAGTACCCTTGCTGTCTATGGGAGGGTCAGAGAGCTGTCAGAATGCATCAAAAATATCTTAATTTGTGTTCCGAAGATGAACGAGCCTTACGGGTTTGGAACGACATGAGGGTGACTAATTAATGACAGAATTTTCATTTTTAGGTGAACTTTCCCTTTAAGCTTTAGACTTTAATTCCATACAATCGGAGGATATCAAACATGTATTATATTTTGGGCCGACTTCACAACAGATATTGTTTCATTTGTCATCATCTCCTAGCAATGAGGCGCATGTTTCTGCGCAAGTTTGTGTTCGGACTTGAAAGTCTGGTAGTGTATGATCCTCAGTCGATTAGAGTATGGTGACCAGTTTTTCTCTGTAATCATTTACAAAGTCGGTAAGTGTAAAATGCATAGTGTTTTAAAATCTGTTGTAATTTTACAAATCGTGTGGTGTATTCCAGCCTTAAAGGGATAGTTCACCCAAAAATGAAAATTCTTTGATCATTTACTCAACCTCAAGTTGTTCCAAATCTATAGCAGTTTCTGTATGAGTCTTCTGTTGAACACAAAAAAGATACTTTTGAAGAATGTGTGTAACCAAACAGTTGCTGGTCCCCATTGACTTTCACAGTATGGAAGAAAAACTATGAAGGTCAATGGGTTTGGTTACCCACATTTTTCAAAATATCTTCTTCTGCAGAGGAAAGAAACTCATACAGGTTTGGAACAATTTGAGGGTGAGTAAATGATGACAGCATTTTTATTTTTGGGTGAAATATCCCTTTTGTTCATTACTGTTCACAAAACTGATCTGATCAGAAAACATCTAGCCAAAGAATAAATATAAAACAAAAGACTTGATGCATACCAATGACAACAACATTAACTTCATTGCTCCATGTTCGTTCATTGTTGCAGAAGATCTCGCAGCGATATCTTCCCTGGTGCTCTGGCAACAAATTCTTGACCTAATTTAATCCAAAACATTATTCTGTCAGTCTCACTACATTGTAAGATTTTTTTAAGTTGTAAATAATACAAAGATATTGGAGAATATTTTACAAGAAAAATACAATTTCAGTCTTTCTACTTCAAAATTTCATGCTTAATTTAATGTGTTACTTGCCAATTCTTTATAATTATTTGTGAAATTTGCTAGCATCTGAGTTGTTTCTTTTTTAATCTACTGCATCAAAACTGTCTCAGAAACAAAATATAATCTAAACAAGAGTGAACAATACTGAATTTATCCATAAATGCAGAGTGTCATCTGTTGGTTCTCTTACAGTGTACTTCCTCTTAGTGGCTTTTTTGATCGGCACTCCATTTCTGTACCATTGATATTGTGGTAGGGGTCTTCCAATAGCTCCACACTCCAGATAGAGCAGATCTCCCACCAGCAGCCTTTGAGGTTTAGGCTGGATCAGCACTCTCGGCCTGCCCTCTGAAGCCAGAGACACTAATCCTGAACAAAAAGCATCAGTTTTGAGATCAATGACATATCGCGCCAATCATGACAATTCAACCAAATTTCTTACTTGTCTCTGCTGATCAGAAATGACTTACCATATCTTGGTGGAACATCAAGGACATCTACTTGGGCCCAGTGACTGAACTCATACGTGTTTCCACAGTTCACCCGACAGATGTAAAACCCTGCATCTTTGAGCCGGACTGGACTGAACACCAGGTCTGGGGAGGAGCTGTTATGTACCTAGAGGGTTATATAATTCATGTGAATGACTGAAAGTCATGTTGCTTACTTGCAATATTAAACATCTACACACCTCTTCTGTTTTCTTAAACCACTGGAACTGCACATGTGAAGCACCAACAGCATAACAACTGAGACGAAGGTTGTGTCCGGCAATGACAGCCACTGACTGTGGCTGGACGAGGATTTGAATTCCTGTGAGATCAGGAAACATAAATCAGCAACTGAAACTGGTCTATGAATGCAAATAAATCCCTTATGACTATATCTGCACTGAATCTATGCCAGAAATCGCAGGAGAATTTGAATGTCATTTGAAAGTTGTAATACTTTCAGTTACCAAAAAAAAAACAAATTTAAAGGTGCAGCAACATTTACTGTTCTGTGAATTTGCATGGGCAAAAAATCATCAATGAGGAATTTTATGTGAGGGAGAACACAGATTCGCCCTCACACGCAGATTTCACTAAAGGTTCAAATTGGTCATATGAATTTGCCACATTGAACATCAGAAAGCTGCTTGGCTTTAAAGTGACTTCTGTGTGAGCTGTGACTATTGACAATAGATAACGGACCTTTTTTGCCAGTGAAATTTTGTTTGTGTCAGCGCACATTAATATTTTCATTTTAACACATTTTTGCATATTTAAATCCATTCCACAGAAAATTCAGTTTTCTTTTACAATTTTTATAGAACACATAGTACAGAGCATATACAAAACAATCAACATTAGATAATGTGATGCAGCATTGTACTGTTGAAACATACACTCTCTTTACCATGTTTACACTAAGGCTGTTATACCTGGAGGTTTCAGGCACTGCAGGGCATCCGTATGACCCATGATCTTTAAAAACTCCACCAGTTCACCCACCATACATCCTTGATCTCCAATGAGTTTGAGCAGGCTGCGGGAAGGACTTCCATCCGCCTCTAAAGCCCTCAGAGAACACATATCCATATCATCCAGACTGTGCAAGTGAGTGGAAGAAGACAGTAAGAAAAATACTGAGTTTATTAGTATATATTACATTAAAAAGAAAAAGTGAAGAGAGAAAAAGTTGTTACCTCACTTTGAATCGCTTGTCACTTTTCACGATTTCCCCCAGTTTTCGCCATCCCTTATTATTGGCCTTGTCAAGAGACTCACAGAGTCTCTTCAACACAGATTCTTTCAAGAAATTTATGTTCAAAGAGTTGTCATTCAAATCTGACATGATTGAGGAAAATGGCTGATACACAACTGTGATTGGTTGACCTGCTGAACTCAGATGTAAATGTTCAGCAAAGCACCTGCAAAATGGGACATTGATGTGATATTTCAATCAGTGTCCTGAGGTGTCGTTTCATTTTTAAACATTTTTAATTTTAAAAAATATATGGCGTTTCTAAAATTCAATAATGCCACAATGACAGCAACTTGTCTGCAAAATTTAAATTGACTGCAAAAAATATTTATCTGAAAACCCTGATGGTGACTAACTAAAATATAGGCCAAAATATTGATATTCAAAATGTTCACATACACACATGGTAAAATTGTATGACAATTCACCTCAAAGAGTTAAAAAAAAAACCTCCATCTTTTTTTTAATGGGTCAGTTAAGTAAAAATAGCTCCTTAAATGGAAAGTTCACTCAATAACTAAATTCTGTCATGATTTACTCACCTTCATGTTGTTCCAAACCTGAATGACTTTATGTTTTACGTGGTATACAAATTAATGAGACGTTAGAATGACAGCCCAAGTCTGTCTTTCTAATATGTTCTATGTTCCACAGAAGAAAGAAAGTCAAACGGGTTTGGAACGACAAGAAGATAAGTAAATGAAGGAAGCATTATCAGTTTTGGTGAACTACTTTTAAGACACTCGCTAGTCGCTATAGTTTCACTTTTTACAGTTTTTGTCAACAACCGAATATGAGTGATGAATGTCTGTAAACTAAGTAAGCAAAGCCATTCATTCCCACGAATTTCGAATTTCTAAATGTAAACATTCAAACAAGTAGAGTTAAAACAGATCAGAATTGACCATGAACACAAAGGTAATATCAGATAGAGTGTAAACATCGAGCGCACATACCGCAGACGGATCAGATGTTGACATGTATCCCATTATAAGCGATATATTAATTCTTCGCTACACACTGACTGATGTGGGGAAATCCAACTTTCAACCCATAAGTGTGTGTGTATACATCACTTCCTGATGTCTAACAAAGAGGAAGGTGTTCATCTCGTCTCTCCTGAGCAGCTCAACGAGGTCTTAAACGGAAGTATGTTCTTATAGTCAAATCAGAGACTCGCTATTCATAAACATACACTTATGAAAACTTATGACTGAGGATAAGAAAAGCCATGCTTTTCAATTATTACTTCACACGAAAATTATTTTAGTTGATTAATGGCCAGATCATCAACAGTTATATATCATTATATATAAATATATATACAGTAGGTAGCTACTAATGATGTAAAGTTTTAAGTACTCGATCTGTCACAATATTTAAAAAAAATCTTTATCCTTAATCCTTATCCAGTAAATCAAGGAAAGTGGCACCCCACTGTCCACAACAATATGAAAATGTCAGTTTTAATGATTTACTGAATAAGGATTAAGGATAAATATTTTTAAAAAATATTTTATACTCAAAATATATATATGATTCTATTAATTCTTATGCAGTTATAAGATTTTGTTCATTTAAATTTTTTCTAGGTCTAGAAATCACACATTTAAAATTTCGTTTCCTCATATATCCTGGTTTTTCCAAGATAGTGGGCTAATTCTTTAAAGAAAAAAAACAGCTGTTGAGGTGGTGAATTAAAATAAGTAATAACTTGATTTTATAATAACTTGATAACTTGATTTAAGCTTGTTTTGTCTTATTTTAAATTAATTTAGGCAAGGCAAGGCAAGTTTATTTATATAGCACATTTCGTACACAATGGTAATTCAAAGTGCTTTACATAAAAGAAAGTAAAATAATCATACAAAATCATAAAAATAAAACAAGGAATTTAAAAACTTTGAAAATGATTTAAAAATTGATTTAAAATTAATTTAAGACAGTTAAAAATAGAAAATTATTATACATACATAAAATAATCAGTTTGGACATCGCACAGTGCTCATTCAATAAATGTACAGCTAAACAGATGAGTTTTGAGTCTAGATCTAAATGTGACTAATGTTTTAGCACATCTGATCTCTTCTGGAGGCTGATTCCAACTGCGGGCGGCATAATAACTAAAAGCGGACGCCCCTTGTTTTGTGTGAACCCTTGGTATTTCTAACTGACTCAATCCTAATGATCTGAGTGGTCTGTTAGGTTTATATTCAGTGAGCATATCTGCTATGTATTTAGGTCCTAGGCCATTGAGTGATTTATAAACGAGTAAAAGTACTTTAAAATCAATCCTAAATGTAACGAAGCCAGTATAGGGACCTGAGGACTGGTGTGATATGCTCAGATTTTCTGGTTCTAGTCAGAATCCTGGCAGCAGCGTTCTGGATGAGCTGCAGCTGTCTAATGGTCTTCTTG